AGCACAGTATAGTACAAAGATACCTGGGCTACCCACTACTCATCTACCTCACAGAAAATGCCCCATTTTGAAACTAATAATATCATTTTTTTGATATCATTAAAAAAAATTTTAATAATCTGTAACTTGAGCTGATTCTACATTTGACTTCGAAGCTACTCTGCTACTTTCATTATAATCTGACTCCTGGCCTCACAGTTACAAATACATATATACCCACATCTCAAACCCAGATTCTGCCATCACCCTGGTGGCAACACCCACGTGGATAAAATCATAAATCCTATAGCTCTCTGACATCCCACCCCCACTGATCTCCAGTGCTTCTTCAATTAGGCCATCACCTGATCTATGTTATCATTACAAAATAATGAATACAGTGCCTCACTCTTAGGATTCAGTCCTTCCAATCCTCTCACACTTTTATACTACATGTACTTCTTAAAACTTTGTTATAAATTCTTGGTGTTTCTTCTCCTTCTTTAGGCTTATAATTTCCTCCTACTCTAATTTTCTGATGCTCATGCTGGACTATTCCATGAATTAATCACTCAATTCCTTGCCGTCATCTCTTAAAGCATTCACCCACAACTGCCTCTCCATGCTTACCTAGGAGTTTGATACTGTTACAAATGTGGGTGGATGTCACTGGAAAGATGTGTCTACACATTTCATCTGGGCTCTCAACTCATCAATTCTCAATATACATAATAAGCTCCTCCACCGGTGTTTAGGATTCAGAACTCCTAAAACTAGATCATGTTTTTATTGGTTGTGTCTCTTTCTCCTTCATCTTTAACACCTCTTTTCTTTGGGCCCTCCTCTGAGCCATTAGTCAAGGTCTTATCTCCACTCTGAACCTATCTCTTCCTAAGACCCTCCAGTTAAACATTACCCATCTCCAGAGGATAAAGTCCATCTCTCTTAGCCTCATCTCCTGCCTCTCCAGGCATTGTATGGTACCCCTTGTACCTTTTAAACACACAAGTAAGTGATTGTTTGCAGCTTTACCTCTTCTATTATTATATCTGGCAAATAACCTTACCACAATCATAAGCAGAGAAACTTTTCTTTGATGAGGAACTCAAGGAAATCTGTTTCTCAGCCATTTTTCAATAAAGCACAGACTAATAGCTAAAAAGCATCAATGCTCTTAAAGTTAGCCAAATGCCCACATAATTTTTTAAGAAAATTGAGCAACACTTTATAAAGGAATATTATCTATTAAATAACAACTCTTCTTGTTCAAATCTTTAATATACCACATTCTCATATAGGTTGCAACCTGCAAGTTTAATTACAATAAGTGGTAACTAGGGTTCTGGTTTTTCTAATCCCTTTAATTATGACTCATAAGCTAAAGTTCAGGTACTTAACAGTCCCCTAAAAGAAGCCTAAAAATACACTTACAGAGGAAATTAACAATTTTATTTAATAGCTAATCTGAATTAGCTTGGGCCAGGCATTATTGTTAATAGAAGAGGAAGAGACACAGAGAAGTAACTTGCCCCAGTTACACTACTAATAAGTAGTGTAATCAGGCTAAGCCATTTGGTTCTAGAGCCATCATTCTTTACTACTATATAAAAACAGTCTCCCCACAAAATTTCCTACTACATAGTTAAAAAGAAAAAAAAAGATTTCTTTTCAAAATTCACAAATCACCTAATCTTTACATTATCTTCACAAAACAACAAAGACACATGGTTACTCCATGATTGTTTAACAAATGGAAGTGAAATCTTCCACCCAACTAGCAAGGAACTCTAGCAAAAAGGGATTTTAAAAGGATACTAATGTTGCCATAAAAAGTTCAATTGATTACTAAAAGTATGCTTTCAAATAGTCTCTAAATGCACTTAAAGAAAGCCTTGGACAAGATCCAAACAATGTACCCATATGGTTCTTATATACTTAAAATCTCTACAACACACACCTCACATTCACACTGCTGACAAATATGCAAACCCTATTCTGTTCTCCTCCTCCTGTTCTGACACAAGCCATTTGCCTTCATTCTATTGTGAGCTATCTGGTCATCTTCTTTTCCATCTAAGGGTAAAGCTGAAGGACACAATTGAAAGAAGGGTTAAATACATCCTCAACTACCTTTGTGTATTTTTACAAGGTTTCACTGAATGAACAAAGGACCATCTTTATGTTTCACAATAAGAACAGTAAACAGCCAGGCACAGTGACACAAGCCTAAAATCCGAGATGCTTAGGAGGCTGAGGCAGGAGGATCACAAGTTCAAAGCCAGCCTCACAACTTAGCAAGGACCAACTTAGTGAGACCCTGTCTCTAAAAAGAGCAGGCTGGGAATGTGGCTCCATGGTTAAGCTCCCTGGGTTCAATCGCTGCTACCAAAAAAGACACAATGATAAGGAAAAAATGGAGAAAGAATATAAAGGGATAGAAAGGGTTTTACAGGTAAGAAAGAAGGAACGGGCCTTGTTGATCTTGATGGGTAGGAAAAGAAGTCTTCTACCATGAAACAAGAACAACATGCAGCCTGGTTTTAAATGCTGAAGTCTACATTATAGCCTCTAATGAGGGAGTCCTTCATTGAACAGTGGGACTGAAGCTGGGCTAAATGATTCTGAATGGCTTAGTGAAAGAATGACTCTAGTCAGAGCATGCATAATGGGGCAAACTAGAGCTGTTCTGGACGGACACAGATTGGACAGGTTGAGGGCACTGGATTATGGAAGATGAGGGAAGAGTAACTTATTATAGTAGCCTTAACTGCTTAAAATGTTTATTAATACTAATTCAACAAAATAACTCTTATTATAGATCAAAAACATCACCTCTTGTGAATTTCAAAGCTACCTGTTGATTCTAGTATTTAACAGAAAAATTCAGTCTTTATGCTATCCATATCCCTTGTGACTAAACCTTCAAACCCATTAATGTGTCTTTCTGGTGACTGCCCCAATATCTTTCCTTGATTGATTTCTTACATGCTGAGCCACTTAACATACTTTTGATCACATATTACCATGCATTTCTGATCCTGAACTGACTTCCAGGTTCATCCACATTGAGACAATTGAGAGGTCATCTTAACACTTGAAGTCTTTCACTGTTGATTCATTGCTAGAATAGACCCTTCTGCGCTGTACTTTCCTTGGCCCAAGGGTCCAAGTTCTCCAAACTCTGTCAGGTTACATCAATAACTGACAGGAATCTTGGAAGAATAAAAACTGGCTTCCATCTTTTAAAAGTCTTACCTAATATATTTTTAATGAAGCCCATAGAATTTTAATCCAATGTGATGAATAAAAATAGATCAAAGTCTATGTTAAAATGAAAGACAATAATGAGAAAAAGTCAGACAGAAATCTAAGGGTCACAGAGATGGGCAAGAGAAGAAATGAAAGAGATAATGAGGCAGAGAAAGACAAAATGATGAAAGAGATGAAGATAAAGAGAGAAACAGATACCCCAAAATGAAAAGTTCACAAAGGCAGAGAGAGAAACAAAGACACAAGCAAGAGGTAGAAGAGAGAAAAAAATCAGAAAGAACAGAGAAACAAAAGAAAGATACAAAGTCCAGAACAGAGAAGTGGAGAGAGAAGTAAGCCCATTCTTCCTGTCCCACTCCCCAAATTTATCTATCCCTTCTGAAAATAAATAAAGAAATGTATATAAACTTTAAATCTAAATCATATCCACTTTGCTGCTGTGAAGTGACCGGATAATTAAATTTCAACAAGCATTACAGGGAAAGGATGGAAGTTATTAGTATCCAAAAACAAGAACAAAAAAAAGAAGAAGAAGCTGTGCCTCTGCATCATCATCCTTCTACCCTTTCTCAAGCTTGATTGAGGATTATCCATGTTGTACAGAAGAAGACATTGAACCTCAGAAGATAAAGCCTTCTGACTCAGGAAGAGGAACCTGGCCAGCTCCAAGCCTGCCTTTCTCCCCTCCCTTCTCAAAGGCTATCCTGATGATCAGGAGAATTCTTCCTCCTTGTCCTTGTCCAGAATGCTTTCTACCCTCTCTGAAAAGCACCCCCTCATTCAAGGTACAAGCCCAACTTATTCAGGGACAGAGTCTTGTCCACCTCTGCCTCAGGCATGCAGCATAGGGCCTGGTACACGCAAGCCAGCAGTTTTTGTCAATGAATATATTAAGTTGGCCCTACATGTTATACATGTTTACTATGTATGTCAACAGAACTTGAATAAAGTTGTTCATATTACTAACCAAAATATTGTAGTAATTTCCATCTACATCTACTCCCCCTCTGGTATTCTCAATCTCATTGATGTCATCACCATCCAAACTGTTCATCCCAGCTAAAAATCCCTTTATCTAATTAGTAAAGCCTCTAGTTCGTATTTTCTATGCGTCTCCTACTTTATCTCCCATGCCATGTATCCACATGCCAAAATTTAAAAAAAAAACAACAACAAGATCTCCTGAATGATTCTCTTTAAACTTTTCCATGCCCCACATTGTTGCCAGTAACCTTTTGAATTAAGTCACGTTCTTAATGAAATACCTTCAATGGAAAGAATTAACATCAAACTCCCTATTTTAGTATTGGGAACTTCCCTGGCTATACCTCACCTACCTCCCCTAGCCTTCTCTGTCCTTCTCTATCCACATCATTCCCTAAAAAACACTTCTTTTTTTCCCCTCCACCAGACTTCTCTATCTAGGGACAACACATTTCTTTGCCCTCCCCTTTTCCACATCTACTTTTTTTTTTTTAACATTCAACTCAAATTGCATTTTATTCCTCAATCTTCTGACTGACGCTAGGGAGAGGAAGTCATTTCTGTATCTGGATTTCCAATGCCCTTGAAACATGTATATATTATGGCTTACATCATAACATATGGTAGTTATTTAAGCATCTTTTCCATTACAAAGTAAGTTGTGTAAGTAAAGATTGTCTCATTTTCTTTTTTAAGTGTCCTAGGGTTTAGTACAGAATCTGTAGAGAGGAGAGACCTAATAAATACGGGAAGAATAACAAACATACCTTTCTGTGCTTTAATAAGCTGTTTTCCAATTTCAAGCGTCACATAGGCTGTGCCATTTAGAACTATGTCTGTTATGGTCTTCCAAGCATTGGGAGAGAGTCTTTCAGTGGGTGAAATAAAATTTCCTGCTGCGTTGTTTATCACGATCTAATAAGTGGATAAGGCAAGTTATAGAAACTTTCAGATAAGGTAGAATATTTTCCCACTAGGGCTTTTATTTTTGAAGCTTATTAATCCAAATAATATAATACGGCTTAAGTTCATAGTCAGCTTTTAAAACAATACTATGAGATTGAGTTCAGTTTCATGTTCTTGGAGTCTGAAAATCTCCTATTATTTCCCAAGTTCAGAATCCTAACACGTCTTTAAATTAGGGTAGTTCTATTATTAAGAAAAAAAAAAAAAAAGACAGAGTAAGCATGTTTATCATGTAACTACACTATTTCAGGGAACCTCAAGAAATGCCTCTGGATTTCTGTTATTTACTTTTTAACTTAATGAAACTCTTGGTCATTGACCTGTTTCTTCAGGATCAACTGCTTAGTTGTATGACAGATTCAATATTATTAGATGGTTTGAAAATATCTTTAATGTAGAAAAGTACTCACTCTGAGATTATTGAAGAAATGGCTTATCTCTAATAAATGGGCCAAATAAAATGTCCATTTATATCTCAGGTTTTAGAAGGAGAAATTTGGAACTTCTTGCAGTTTTTCTTACTTGTATTGTTCTCCTCCACCAAGAGATAATCAAAAGTTATTAAGAAAAGCAAAGGCCATGAATCATATAAACTAGATATTGTGTTCTTGGACTAACTGCTCTTGTTATTTTATAATCTTATTACATAAAGTGAAATCAAGTTTGTTCCATGATTATAAATGCATTTTTAAAGTATTCCTGAAAGAAAGAAGGGCAGCAGTCCACTTAATCTTTTCCCTGCTTTGAGCCGAGTTAGCATTTTCCTAGGGATAGAAAACATGTGCTTCTCTGTACAGCCCTTGCTCACATCAAGAGTTTATTTCATTTTTGCATCCTGATGGGTGTTATCAACTTCAAATGACTCTCACTTTGTCTTCATCACCATTAGCTTACATCAGGAAGTCCTGTGACTTTGATCAGTTCCAACACAGTCTTGTGAACCATATCAGGATCCCTCACATCACACTGAAGTGCATGAACCTGCATAAAACAAAGAGAAAAAAAGACTTCTACTCTCCCCAGACTTCCTAAACCAAAACAGGAGTAAATTGTTTAAACATGTTATAATTCACAAATTTAATTTAAATGACTGCTTTTGAATGTACCTTATTTCCAGTTTGAGAAGAAATTTGTTCTGCAGTAGCTTTCAAAACATCAATCTTCCTAGAAATAAACACATGGTATGATGCATGAGTTCTGAAATGACTTCACATATTTTTCTTTTTAATTCCATAAATTAGAATCTACAGCTTAAAGTAATGCATTTTTGAGAAAATATGAGTTATATCTACATACAAATCAATTTGAATGAATTTATTTTAAAAGTTAAATTCGAACTATTTTTATATATTTGATAGTAATTCACTGAACTGGACACTTTTTTGGGGGAGGCTGAGGTACCAGGGATTGAACTCAGGGGCACTCAGCCATTGAGCAACATCCCCAGTTCTATTTGGTATTTTATTTAGAGAAAGGGACTCACTGAGTTGCTTAGCACCTCACTTTTGCTGAGGCTGGCTTTGAACTCACAATCCTCCTGCCTCAGCCTCCCAAGCCACTGGAATTACTGGCATATACTACCAAATTGAGCACTTTTATACCAGTTACTTTGACAAATATTTAAATTATTTCCTTAATTATAATCATTGTACCTGTTTTTTCCACCTGATCCAGCTTTACAAAAATTAAAAATAAATACATTTATGCTATAGTGTTAGTAAGTTGTTCAAATAACCTATATGCCTTCCAAATCTTATGTCCTTGAAATATATAAAATAAATCATGAATATAAAACTATATAGTAGTAAAATGAAAATAAAACTCTTAAAAACATTGCAACAAAAAAACAAAAATGTTCTGGCCAATGAGCATTTGTGAGTGACACAGTAACTGTCATTCAGATACCTAAAATTTTATACCACTCAAAACTGGAAGAAGGGGAGGATCTTGTGCTAGTCTCCAGCGCTCCAGACTTTTAGATATAGGGTACCAGATATGCCTAAGTAAGAAGATACACATTCCACTTGGTTTTACCCTTCCCAGATTCATCACAACAGATGTGATGAAATATCTGTGCATCTAAAAGAAAGTGGAAGGAAAACTTCTAATATCCTGCTACAAGGTTAATTATCAATTGAAGCAGTAATCACAATCACTCCCACTGGAAAAAAAAGCAGCCTCAACATAGTATTTTTTTAAAATATACTTTTTTTAAGTTGTAGATGAACACACAACCTTTATTTATTTTTATTTATTTATCTTTATATCATACTGAGGATGGAACCCAGGGCCTCACATAAGCTAGACAAGCACTTGACCACTGAACTACAACCACAGCCCAACATAGTACTTTTTAACTTCATACACAGAAAAAAACAAACAAAAAAAAATCTATGGGCTGGATTTGGGAAAAGTAAATATTATCAGTTCCTTGATTGTCTTTGTTTCTATCATCTCAAATCATAATGACTTTTTCCAAGGAAATTTATTTAGTAATCTGCAGAATACTTTATATAAGATTAGGATGCAAATCAAACAATCCAGCAAGCAGTGTTTTCAATATTATGACACAGACAGGTTCTTCACCAGACTTTGAAGTGAAGGGCTGAGACTCACTTACCTGCTGGCTATCACACATTGAGCACCCAGGCTGGACAGAAAAGTTGTCATGGCTTTGCCAAGGCCAGTACCTCCTCCAGTAATGAACGCCACTTTTCCTTGAAAGCTATTAGGTGGCAGCATCACTTTTTGAAGGGGAGGAAAGAATTTAGACCGTGAAGCTTCCATGCTTTGATATAATATTTTTGTTCCATAACTGAAAAACTAAAAGGGAAAAAAACAAAATGAAACAAATTGAACTGCAGACATATATTTGCACAAGAGATATTTTAAATTTATTCTTGAATTTAATATTAACTGAGTTCTTGGATTAATTCAAATGTACTGCAAACATAATTATTACATTTAATCAATTATTATTCTTTTTCTTTCTGAGGATTAAGTAACATATGAAGGGGTTAAAAAACATGGGTTCTAGAACTATAGACTAAAATAGTGTAGAATTTTCTCCCTAGTCATATAGTCAACAGAAAGTTATTTAACCTTTCTGTGCTTAATTTTCTTCATCTATAAGATGGGAATAAAATAACTCTCTTCATAGGATTACTTGAAATAACTATAACTATAGTATATAGCATATTTATATATAATACATTAGTATGCACTATATGTTCTATACATACTAACATTATTATTTGCAGGTGTTTTGCTTAAATTTTACTTTAAAAAACTGATATAAAACATTTTTATTTTTTTAAAAGAATAATTTGGGGACTGGGGCTATAGTTTTGTTGGTAGAGTGATTGCCTCACATGCATAAGGCCCTAGTTCAATCCCCACTAACAAAAAAAAAAAAAAAAGAATAATTTGGATAAATACCACACTTCATTTTTGAATTACTGAAGAAAATTATTTTAAAATTCTTTAATGCTAATTACATCAAATGCCTCTATTTTATTTTTTTCTAACCAATAAATTTAGAACAGAAATTTATAATCACATTACATTTGAAAACCACTGATATTCTCTCATAGTTAATTATAAAACACACTGTAAGAGTTTAACATAACAAACAACAGGAGCTACCATTCATTAAGTGGTTACCATATGCCAGGGTCAGATATTAAACTACCTAATCACCACAACTATCACATGAATTAGTTATTTTTTTAATCCCATTTAGAGGAAGGGTTCAGACAGATTAATAATATTGAGCAAGTGCAGGACTAAGATTCAAACATGGGCTGACAGACTCTGGAGCCCTCCTCTGATAACCACCTTGTATGTTGCTTCTATCTAGTCTCGAGCTCCTACTTAATAATCACATATAGGAGGTATGTAATATTCCCCCACCAGGAAAACAATCGCAAGGTCAAAACTCCAGAATCTCATCTTTTCCTGCTAGAGTATTCCTAGCTAAATAAGCTGCCATCAATTGATCCAGGATATCCAGAAACTTACCCTAAAGAAATAATCAGAAATATGATCAATGATTTAGAGTAAGGTTGTTTGTCAACTGGAAATTACATAAAATGTTTATGATGTAATATTGAGTAAAAAAAGAAAAATATATTGTATTTTCTTAAATAAAACCAAATGCTCAGGAAAAAAAAAAGACTAGAAGGAAATAACAGCAGTAAGCAGTAGATTGAATATTTACCATCTACCAAGGTCTATTAGACTTCCCCCACCCCTTTACTTCCCTCCCCCCTTCCTTTACTTCATATAGTAAATTCTGTTGCCATTCTCATTTTATAGATGGGAAAACTGAAGCACAGAAAGATCATGTACTGTATTTTTATAGACAAATAATAATAAGTACTTAATAATAAGTACTTCACTACTCATTTATATAGTTCTATTTATTTATAAAGTACTTACACACTAAATACTTTACATGATCTACCAATAATGTGAAGAGAGAGCCTACAGAATGGGAGAAAATCTTTATCACATGCCCCTCAGATAGAGCATTTATCTCCAGGACATATAAAGAACCCAAAAAAAAATTAACACCAAAAACAAATACCCAATAAATAAATGAGCTAAGGAAATGAACAGACACTTCACAGAAGAAATACGATTGATCAATAAATATATGAAAAAATGTTCAACATCTCTAGCAATTAGAGAAATACAAATACACTGAGATTCCAGCTCACTCCAGTCAGAATGGCAATCATCAAGAATACAAGCAATAATAAATGTTGGCAAGGATGTGGGGAAAAAGGTGTGCTCATACATTGCTGGTGGGACTGCAAACTGGTGCAACCACTATAGAAAGCAGTATAGAGAGTTCTTAGAAAATTTGGAATGAAACCATCATTTGACCCAGTTATTTCACTACTCAGTTTATAACCAAAGGACTTAAAATCAGTATACTATAGTGAGACACCCACATCAATGTTTATAGCATTTCAATGCACAATAGCTAAACTACAGAACCAACCTACGTGCCCTTCAACAGATGAATGGATACAGAAATTGTGATATATATAAACAATGGAATATTACTCACCCTTAAAGAAGAATGAAATTATGGCATTAGCTGGTAAATTAATAAAACTGGAGAATATTATACTTAGCAAAATTAGTCAATCCCAAAGAACCAAAGACTTAATGTTTTCTCCAATATGTGGATGCTAATTCACAAAAGGGGTCAGGGGGCTAGGGAAGAATAGGGGTGTTTTGGACTAGACAAAGGGGAGTAAAGGAAAGGGAGGGAGTATGGTGGTAGGAACGATAGCAGAATGAATTGGATGTTATTATCCTATGTGCACATATGATTACACAACTGGTGTAACTTTACATCATATACAACCAAAAGAATAAGAGGTTATACTCCATTTATAAATGATGTGTCAAAATGCATTCTACTGTCATGTATAATAAGAACAAATTAAAGAAAAAAAGTAATTTACGTGATCCAAATCTAAGATCTGACTTCAGAGTCTATCTTTATAGTTATTATCTCTAAGTGATGGAATTATGGATTATTATTTAATTTTTATTTCAGTTTGGTTGGTTCTAAATACTTACAAAAATCTATCAAGTATTATCTGATTTCATAATCATGAAAAATGTTATTGAGAGATAAAATGTGAGAATTTATGTAAAAAAATTGAAGATAAATTGATAAATCTGGTTATGTTCCATGCTAGTCATATTTCTTTTAACTTCATATTGACAAAGCTTTTTTTTTTGGAATCCTTTTGCCAATGTTTGAATCCCAAGCAACCTGTAATAATCTTTTTCTACCTAAATGGCAGTTTTACCTAAGGCTGCCACCCACCTCCAGAATTACTGCATTAAGATGATGAATCAGGAAGTTTGCATGAGTAGGCTGGTAAATTTGTCACTACCTAATAATAATGAAAAAAAATGTATTCTAATTTTCCAAAGGCTCTACCATGAATATTTTTTACTTAGTTTGTGGAGGAAATTAGATGGGAGGCTTTATTAAAAATAACTAAAGAAGATATTTATATACTATAAACATTTTTCTCAACCTCCTAACTGCTAGGGGAAAGCTTAAAAAGTAAAATATCACATTTGATAATAACAATTCCCAATAAATATCTATAACAGATTATTGTATAACAAGATCTTACCTATCTTTTTTGATCTGATCAATACTGATCTTATGACTTCATCACTTTACCTATCCAAAAGTGAAAAAAAACACCCTGATATACTATTTTAATTCACATTACCCTCTGACCATTCATAGTATATGTGTGAATATAAATTCAGCCATCCCTTGGCCTGTTCAAGGTTAGTTGCTCCATGTCAGCACTGAAATACATAGAGATGATCAGGTCTCACAAGATCACATTGTATACACTCATATTTCTACAAAGAAATATTCTGAATAACAGTAATCTTACTTGGTCATTTCCTTTGAATTATTTTAAAAAGTGGATACAAAACAGGCTTTGAAAGATTTTTCATGTCTTGCTTTGTAGTTTTTCTAAACACAAGCTGTTTAGAAATAAATTGTTTCTGAAAATGGAAATAACACCTTTCCTATCAAGATTGATCTCTCTGGAGATCTTTGGTGATCTAAAATTCTTAAAACTCTCTGAAGTCCTCCAATTTTGACAATACAGATTTATTTTTTAGTGTTAGAAGCTATAATCTGCCTCAAGAAGGTTAACTACCCCCGGTGCACCCCACCTCCAAACTCATCAGCTTCCCACTTTACATAAACAATATCTTCCTCCTTCATATATTGCTAAATTACACCTAAACTAATGAGTCACAACCAGCTTCTAATCCTCAAAATGGCAGTTCTAACAGTCTTGACCTTATCTCTTCCCTGGAGGATAAAAACTGTTGTCAATGAGAGTCACACCTAAATTATTTAAGGATTTGGACTAGTCTAAAATGTCTAGAGTCAAAATCTAAAGGTATATTGGTGATCCTAGGCCAAATGTGTTTTATAAGACCTAATTTGGAATTTTAAGTCAACATTTAGATATTGGGTGAATTCACAAAAACCAGAAGCTCTACTAACACTTGGGTCCAACTTCCTACATGATTCAGCCCAACCTGCCTGCCCCTTGGGACAGACCTAGGTTCTTTTTGGCCCTGACTCACATAGGGACAGTAAGCCCTTTTTACTGGGTGGCTTTCATTTACAGAAACTTTACAAACCTGAGATATTTTGAGTATAGAACCCTTAGTCTAAATAAAACTCAAGAAGCTGTACAAAAGAAGGATTTTTATTTGTGTGTTGGAGGGGGTTATTTTGTTTTGGCACTATATGTAAGTTTCTGAAATTTCATATAAAACAGATTTCTATAAAAATATTAAGATCTATATTTTAGAAAATCCAGTTTCAAATCTGTAAAAAGTTATATAGTAACAGACTCTTACATGTAAGTTGTGAGACTAAGTTCATATTTGTTAGAGTCTGTAAACAAGTCAAAATAACACCTGGCATTTTGCCAGGGGAATGTTAAAGTTCGTAAACAAGTCTGGATGGTGCCTGGCAAAATGCCAGAGGGAGTGGTTTGAGAAGTAACAAAAACAAGCCATTAACTGTGGAGATTCCTTATTGGTTGACTGATGTATCTAGTTTATGCTAATTAGATAAGCTGTGTGGAATGTATAAATACTGCTCCTGTCCTGCAATAAACGGCTCCTACTCCTGCTGTATCAACGTACACAAGTTCTTCGTCACCCCCCCGGTTATTTTGCTGCAGCCGGACTGCGGCACATATTTAAATAAGCATTAGCTTAGCTATTTTACCACCACCACT